CAAAATAGCAAGAATTTCATTGGTAACAGCCATTCCCCTTGAGCAGTAAAGTGAACATTATACTAGAAACATTATTATATTTCAGTCTGTTAGTACAAATGCAGGTCATTTGGTATATTTATGCTTCACTTTTCCTAACAATAAGATAATAGTTTTAGGGCATCATCTCAATCCACAAATCCTCGAGTATGGTGTTTGGGTATGCATATGCTTTAATAACAAAGCAGAGCCAATAGCAAATAATTTAACTAAGTTACGCCATTAGCTAAAAGGACATTTCTTAGAAACCCTCAATTTGCTACTGATATAATAAACAGGTAAAAATATTTTTAAACAAAAAGCAGGGGCATTTTTGTCTTTGGATATAAGACAAAACCACAATGGTTAAATATGGTTCAAAACCATTAAATATGGTTTAAACAGAAAACCATTTTCTGTTTAAACCATATTTAAATCACCAGAAACATTTCAGTTGATGTCATTTCTGAAAAGCTGTGCATGTCTTTCACATGTGGCTCTGGGTAAAGTTCCATTGTGCTGTTTCTTCTGAACAGAGATCATGGAATTAAAGTTATTTTCCCCACAACATTATTAAAGGAAAAGTTCCAATACTGATAATATCCACATGTTTTTATACAGGGAAACATCAGGGTTTCAATAACTCACAGAAGATTCTATCTTAATCCATGATTTTTATGATGTATATAAATTTGATAAAGTATGGGAGCCCAAATAACACAAAATTTACATGTGAAATATGTCATTTTTTTTCTACATGGAAGTCAGAATTTGATTTGTCTTGTTGATTTCACCTTTGACACTTAATTAGGCAGGAGCACAGCTTTCCATTTACCCCCCTCCCTTTTTTATTAAGAGGACATGGAGAGCTATATGCCAAATTGTATTGATAAGAAAAGGGGGAAGTTGCTTAAAAATAGCCCTGGGGCAGAAATGTCAGATGCTTGGAAGCCTGATGCTATCTGGTACTCAGATTAAATTCCCTCACATGAAACCAAGCACAAAGAAGTTTTTGATAGCTTTTCCTCTATTTCCACTGCTCAAAGCAAGAAAACAAATACATAAATCTCACACCCAAACTCAATAGTACAACAACCCTCTACCATCTGGGTTTCATTTCATTCCACAAAAGGAACATGAGAGAGTACACTAAAAATCTAAGTTGTATATACTCTTGTGAATAGGCCTCCCCCCAAAAAATTTTTCTTAAAAGATTCACTTTAAAAGTACCTTGCAAGAAGAATACTTCTAAAGTTTTTATTTAAATAAAATTACTGAGAAAAATTAACTGTATACTTGAAATGATGGGGACTTTTACAATTAAAATCTTTTTTGGAAGATTGTCTTAAAATATGTGCTTCCAAAGAGAAGATCACTTTTCCTTATAGTTTCCTTAGAGAAAACCATAGATTTAGGTTGGTTTGTCACAGAAGAGAAAAGATCAATTAACTTGTAATCACTGAAGCAGCGTAAGTTTTGGAAGGCTAAAGCAGGCACTCCTTCCTGTGTTTCAAGAAATTGATTCCTGTTTTTGAGTTGGAAAGGGAACTCTAAATTTGCATAGATACCAGCCTGTCACGTAGAGACTGCCTACTTAAGAGTTCCCCTTACTTAAGAGTTTCAGGCAGCGCAGGCAAGAGTGAAGAGTTGTCACAGGAACCTGAACACCAGCAGTGCTGATAGGCTTGGGGCAGCATGTCACTTTGTCCCAGGTAGCTTGCCACCACGGTCAAATTTTAGTTATCCATTTGGCATGTTTTATAGGTCTTCTCTTAATCATTTTTATAGATGGAGCTTTAAAATTTATTTTATTATTATTTTTTATGTGTAGCATATTTTACTCACACCAGAACTATATGAATGTACCTACTTCCCTAGAGCATTTCCCATAGAATATGTTGTCAGACTTTTGGAAATTTGCTGGGAGATGGGAAATGGTATTTTGATGTAGTTTTTCTTTTTCTAAATTCCCATCCTCCTGCCCCTTCTCCTTTAGCAAACATAATTTTTAACATTAACATTGTAAAGATGTCAATTTATTAAAAGCATCTTTCTCTTTAACATTTTCAAAACACAATATATCATTGCTCCAAATTTTAAAATATATGAATAACACTCTCTTTGTGGAATTTAATGTATCATTATAATCTCTCAATTTCCATCTCTGCTCATCCAGCAGAATCATATATTTGTTTACTTCTGCACTGGTCTCTATACTGTTGTTATGCAAAATAATAATACCTGTCTTTAGTTTATGATGCTATTTTAATCTGCTATGTAATAGAATGTCATGTTTAATAATTAAGGTCTTTAGGAAGAATGGAACAGTTTCAGTATTTTTTTTTAAATTCTAGGCTTATTTTACTATGATTCTGCACATGAAAGGATTAATGAATGACCCATGAAATGATATATAGATGATTAAGACAAACCAACGCATTTTAAGACAGTGTGACTCAAAGTTTCCCTTCACATTTTTCATGTGAAAAGTCATTGAAGAATCTTCAAAACATCCTTTAAGCCTGAACATTAAAGCATCTCCCCAAGATTTATTTTCTTCAGAATCACATATAGACGTAATTTTCCATCACCTTGTAATGTATTTTCCATCTGATTGTAAAAGTTTTAATCCATACTTTAGAAACCCATAAGCTTTCCTTTGAGTAGGTTTCAGGTCAGTTTGATGTTAACACACTGTGGCCAGACCCTCTAGATAGGCTATTTTTGAGGGTCACCGTTATTAGATTCTGGGATATAGTATCTTGAATTCTAATATTTATAATTCATTAAAATATTTTACAATATTTTCTTTCCGCTGTCATTTAAAAGTCACACATAACACATAGAATAGAATATACTATGGGTATCATCTCACCACGACAGTATCCTGCTTATTTATTTCTATTCTTGAAATCCAACATTGTCTCTAAACTAAAGATCAGAGGTCTATAAACCATCTGAGTAAATGTAAATTGACCAGAATTATTTTTTAAAGTATGAATATTTTATGTACACTTAGCTCTCCCTATTATTTCAGGTTATCTGTAAAGAAAAAAGTAAATTATTTATGAAGTTTTAATTTTCATGGTTTCAGAAATAGTATTCACATGATTAAGTAAGCTTAACATGTAAAATTAGTGATGCTATTATATCATTTGTAAATTCTGAGCAAGAGCATTTGAGACTAATGAACTGTACACACTGGCATTGTATCGTTTAGGCTGGAAACACATTCAGGCACCACCAGGAGGAGATGACAAAGGAGTCTTGAAATGTAATTTATGTAAATATAAAAGTCAATCATTGAATCTCTTTCCTAAATATTCACCATTCACTCTTCACCACTTTTTGAAAGAGATTTTTTAGGGTCCTCACATTCCTTGACAGAACTATTTGTTCATAAAATTAATGCGGTGATGGTGAAGAGTGAATTTGTTCTCTTCCAGAAACAAGACAATTACTCTAACTATAAATGAATATTCTTTTCCAAGGCTTTCAGAAATGTTTGAAATAATTTGAAAATATTCTGCCTTGACTCAGGTTAAATTCCCATGCTCCTTTAGTGTAAAAACTGTTTTAGTAGTCAAATATGTAAAGTCATGTATGCCTATGTACATCTTCATACATGTACTCTAGTTTATATTATATTTTAGTCTGAAGCCATTAATTTTCTTTTTTTCTTTTTAAATATTTTATTTATTTATTTTTAGAGAGGGCAGGGAAGGAGAAAGAGAGAGAGAGAGAAACATCAATGTGTGGTTGCTGGGGATCATGGCCTGCCACCCAGGCATGTACCCTGAATGGGAATCGAACCTGCAACACTTTGGTTCGCAGCTCACACTCAATCCACTGAGCTACACCAGCCAGGGCATCATTAATTTTCTATTTGATAGAATTACAAGTATGTAAACCTGTATAAACCTACTTCCAATAAGTGAGTTCCTAGATTTTCATGAAAATATTTAATGCAATATTAAAAACTAGAGGCATCACTGGTCTAAAAGTACATATATATTACTTTTTTTCTTTATAGTTCATTTATTTTCATTTTATTGTCCTTACTGTTTGCTATTAGCCATTTAACTAGAGTATCCATTTCTCTTTACCTTGTTTGGATAAGAAATTTTGTGAGGGACAGCAGAAAGAGCAGCTGAGGAACAATTTTCTTAGGAGAGAGAGACCCTAGGTGAATGGCTAGTAGACCTCAACAAGTCTTGTTGATGAAGGAGCCTTATGGGATTTCACCTTTCCTTCATCACCTCCAAAGCTTTCTGTTAGCTGAACTCAGCACTTTAAATATCTAAATCCTCAAGAGGGGATAAATTGGATGGCAAAATAAATATGGGTGGCAATCATGCAGTTGATTTTCTTTTAGATATTTTAATCTTATAATAATTTTTTTAGTCCCCATTGATTTGGGCCAAAGAATATCACAGTTCTGTATCCAGCTACATGACTTTTTATTGCAGTAAAATATTATTTTACAAATGAGCATAACTTGATTCAGTGAAATGTAAGTAAATAAATACACAAGAAATTAAATTTAAAAATCAATGGTGACTTTTAAAAAATATTTTTGTTTATTCTATTACAGTTGTCTCACTCTTTCCCCCTTTGCCTCTCTCTACCGGCCTGCCCCCCTACTTCCATAATCAGTCCCCTCATCGTTGTCCATGTCCACGGGTCCCTCACATATGTTCTCTGACCCATCCCTTCACCTTCTTTCAGTCTGACCCCATTTTCCCTGCCCCTCTTATAGCTTTCAGTATGTTCCATGATTCTATGCCTTTGGATCTATTTTTCTCATTAGTTTATTTTGTTCATTAGGTTCCTCTTATATTTGTTTTTTACCAACTTGTTTATTTCCCTTGGCATAGTAGTCTCCAATTCAATCCATGCTGTCTCAAAAGGTAGCAATTCCTTTTTTCTTTCTGCTGTGTAATATTCCATTGTGTGGATGTACTGCAGTTTTTTTTTATCCAAAAAACATGGAATACTTCATGAATTTGCATGTCATTCTTATGCAGGGGCCATGCTAATCTCTGTATTATTTCAATTTTAGCATATGTGCTGCCAAAGAAAGTACTCAATGGTGACTTTCAAATAATGTATTTACAAAGATTATGCTGGGCAGAGGTGTAGAATTTCTTATATCCTTTCAACAGGGAACATTGCAAAAATATTTATTGACCTAGAATCATATTACTCATCGAAAGTATTGTCCCTTTAAAAAGGACACCTTTGGATTCTGTGCTTTTAATCCAATGGATAAACCTCTTTTCATATGTTTTCCCTGCAAATGGTCTTCTAAGCCTAAGTATTTAGGATTTGGGCAGTTTTGTTCATCAAGTGAGGACTCTAATTGGAGACAATAGTTCAGAGAGAAGGTTGTGAGCAGTAGCCAAACTGCCAAATGACATTCCCTAGGGGCAATCAATGGTCTTGTATCTTTGCAAAAACACATGCACGCGCGCACACACACACACACACACACACACACACACGTGTTGGCAAAGACATGGAGAAAAGGGAACTCTCATGTACTACTCTTGGTGGGAATGCAGACTGGTGCAGCCACTGTTGAAAGCAGTGTGGAGATACCTCAAAAAATTTAAAATGGAACTGCTTTAAGACCCAGTGATTCCACTTCTGGGAATTTACCTGAAGACACTTGAAACACTAGTCAGAAAAAATACATGTACCCCTATGGTCATTGCAGCAATACCGACAATATCCAAGATTTGGAAGCAGCCTGGGTGTCCATCAGGAGATGAATAGATAAAAAAAAATGTGGTACATTTACACAATAGAATACTACTTGGCATTAAAAAAGAAAGGAATCACCCTTTGCAACAACATGGAAAGAATTAGACAGCATTATGCTAAGTGAAATAAGCCAGTCAGAGAAAGACAAATACCATATGATTTTACTCATATGTGAAAGCTAATGAACAAACTGAACTGACAAGGAAAATAGTGACAGACTCAGAGAGAGCAGGCTGACAGCTATCGGGGAGCACGGGTACTGGGTAGGGCAGTGGAGTTATTGATCCTAAAAGAAAAGAAGAAGAAAAAACTCGTGGACATGGAAAACAGTGTGGAGATTGTTGGGGAGAGTGAGGTGGGGAGAAGTGGAGGAGAGTATAGGGTGATGAATGGTGGTGGACGGAGACTTGATTTGGGGTAGTGAACACAGAATAGTGGATGCTCCACTCATATGCTGGAGATAAAGCCAATATCACAGATGTTGTCAGTTTGATCTGGGAATATTCAGGAAGCTGAGCCTGAAGCTTAAGTGGTATTGACAGAAAATATTTTGCAGAGTCTTTGGGCTGCTTTTAAAGTTCTTTATCTGTGCCAATTCTAAATTAAATAACACATTTTATATAAATTACATATTAAATCTATATTGGGCAATACATTATTTAATTTATTATCTTGGGAGTACTATTATTTCCAATCCTATAATATTTAGATATTATCATCAGTAGGTACTTCAAAAGAAGCTCAAGGTGTGCAGTTTGGGTTTTAAACATTTACTAATTCTAAGGACACAGAATAGTATAAATATTGATGCTATAGATATCTTTATATATCATTTGTTAAGATTTACACTTAGGTACGTTGTGTATTATTTTGCTACTGAAATGAGATTTTTATTTTATTGAATATATGTTCTAATTGTTACACATGCGTCATAAAAAGCTGCCTATTTTTACATATTGATCTTGCATCCAACATTGTTGAAATACGTGATGAGGTTTTTTTCTCTTAATGATCTCCTGATGCAGTTTGTACCTAATACTCTCCTAAATATATTTTTGTAACAATAGTAGTTTAATGTTTCCCTTCCAATCTCAAATATTTCATTATTTTTGTTGTACAGGACAGTCCTCCTTACATCTTTATGTTGCTACTATTGCCCAAAGCAGTCACCTGTGTTTGGCTCCTGGCTTTGAACTAAGGGCTTTTTCCCATGTAGTATGGTGCTGGCTATAGATTTTTAATAAATACACTGTAAGGAACTTTTCTAGTGTCTTCACTTGCAACTTATCATAAATGTGTGAACAGTTCCAAGTCATTTTCCCCCCTTTTGAAGGTTTTATTATTATTATTTTCATGAGTTTTTTTCTATTTAATGCATTAATATGATGAATTGCATGAGCAGATACAAATGTGGTCCAGAAAGAAAGAGGTGCTTTTTGGCTCACTGTGCAATACAGTAAGTCTCTTTCTGTGTGTGTGTGTGTGTGTACGTGTGTATGTGTTTTGATGGAGCCACAGAAACCAAGCTTCCCCCTTTACATGCCTACATCAATAGCCTTTTCTATTTTCTGCTTTTTTTCCTTTTTTTTTGTAAAAGGGCAATATCAGTTTGTTTCTCATTCAATTCCTCATTCTCCAGCTCCTGTGTTGAGTCGGTGAGCTACTACAGAGACCGCCTGTCCACGGGCTTTGTTCCACAGCCAGGAGTGACAGTAATTGAGAGGTGAGGAGGTCACGGTGTTCTTGTGCGTGCTCGCTTTACCCTATTCCCACTGGGCACTGGGAGGACTTCTGCAAAATTAAAAATTAATAGTGTTTCCTAGTTACATGGACTATAGGCTTTCCTCTTCCTCTTCTATTCTGCAGGCTCTTCACTGCTTTCTTTTGTTTCAGAGAGAAGAACAAACATTTATTTCTTTACTTACAAAATTAATTGGAAGTTCTTAACATTTCGTGAAGAGGCCACAGTTGTATGCTGGAGAATTCAGGTCTGGAAAATTAACAGTCTGAAAGTAATTTATACAACAAACATTTTTTACATATTAAAAGTTATATAACATGCTTAGTAAATATTGAGTGATTAGGAAATATACTGTTGGATACTATTTATCACAAGTTTTTAAGATAATTTAAAAATTTCATTAATAAACTCTTTTAAGAAGGGATATGGTAAACTTTACATGAATAAATTTGGGATGACATATATTTTATGACAAAAGTTAAAAGTGAACATATATTATCAATATTGTTTAACTATTTTCAAATATTTGAAATTCAGAATAAATGTAACAGAATAGAATGTAACAGCTATAACCTACACTGTAAATTGATTCTCATCTCTCTATCCACTATCTAAGAAAATCTCACATACATATTTAAAAACAAAGTCAATAATTTACCAATTTGCATTCAATTATATTGCTGAATTACTACTAATTGGCAACATAGTTCATCATTTTATTGATTTTAAAAACACAGATTTACATTTACTATGTTTAGCTAAAAAACCATGAGTGAATGTTCAATGCACTATTATATTATTTAATTAATATCTTTCAGTTTATTCTCTTATATGTTACTTTAAACTTCAAATGTAGATAAGTGCATACATAATATTTATATAATTCATAAATGCCAATAAAAATTTAATAAAAATTACAACCAATTATATCATTTTGCACACAAAGTAGTACTAATTTATAATTATTAATCCTTACCTTTAGAATTGTCAAAATCTCAGTTTATTTTATTTACTTTCCTGGTAGATTGAGTAGAGCTTGATTATAGTAATGTTTAATGCTGTTTGCAGTGAAATAATTTATTCAAATGACTGAATATCCATGGAACAAGGACAGGAGATTATTGTTTCTTTATTAGAAAAAAATAATAGTTACAATTATAATAGTTATAATGGTGACTTCTAAAACATTTTTGTATCTGAAGATAAAGTGGCAACTCAGGGTTATCTATTTCAAATAGTTTTAAATTCTTGCAAATATTTTAAATATTTTGAGGGAAGGAGAAAATAAATTTAAAGTTTGCATAGGTTATATTTACCTATTTTGTGTTATAGTTTGAAATAATTTAGCCTCCACTTGAGAACTGAACATGAAAGTACAGTTGGAGCTCCTCTCTCTCGCTGAAGATAACCATTTCCTGCATATGGTGTTAATTTTTCATTGAAACAATATGTTTATTTTTGCATATTTTAAAGTTTTGCAAAATTTTTTCTGTATTCCAACTATTATTCTTCTCAAATTATATTCAGAATTGTGAGTGCATGTGGCTTAAATGCAGTAATTTTCACTGCTCATTATTATTTTGCAAGAATATATCACAATTTATTACCCACTTGCCTGTTGAGGAGCATTAGTGCTGTTTCTGGTATTATTTAAAGGAAACCAATATTGCTTGAGCATTTGTACACTTGTTATTTGTTCACATGATCGAATGGTTCTTTAGGATACACCAATGTCTGAAATTTTTGAGGGTTTTTTTTTTCAGATTTCTAGATATTGTCCAACTGGTTTTTAGATATATACCAATTAATACTTCCAACAGTATAAATAATCTGATTGCTTATATCCTTCCTAGCACATGGTATCTTCAGACTTAATTTTTACCAATGTTTAGCATTAAACTGTAATTAACATTAAATTAATTGTTCTCTAGTTTTACTTTCGTGGTCTTTGGTTACCAAAGGGTGGGAAAACAAGTTTTCAAATATTTATTGGTTATTTGGATATTCTCCCCTATGAATATTTTGCCTGCATATTTTGTCTTTTGGCTTTTCTGTTGGATTGGTCTGTTGCTTCATTTTTATGAGTTCTTTGGATTTGGAAAAGTAAATTACTTTGTTGAAGTAAATGTTACAAATATTTTAGTCTGAAAGCTTCATTCTCATTTTAAAAAACTGTCTTTTTTTCACTTTTTTATTGTTGTTCAAGTCAAGTCTTTATTTTCCCCCCACCACTACTCCCCCCACCCCAGCCATCCCAACTTCCCACCCTTGATCCTACCCCCCTTTGGTTTTGTCCATGTGTCCTTTATACATGTCCCTGCAAACCCTTCCCCCTTTCTCATCCCATTATCCCTTCCCACCTTCCCTCTGGTTACTGTCAGTTTGTTCTGACAGTCATTTTAATTTTAATGTTTCTGGTTATATTTTGCTTGCTTGTTTCTTTTATTGATTAGGTTACACTTATAGGTGAGATCATATGGTGTTTGTCTTTCACTGCCTGGCTTATGTCACTCAGCATAATGCTCTCCAGTTCCATCCATGCTGTCAGGAAGGGAAGGAGCTCCTTTTTCTCTCTGCTG